TCTCCTGGATTGCTATCCCGCCCCGTTGCTTGCTGCTTTACTTAGGCTGCTGAACATAGTACTAGGCACGGCGAGCGTTCAAATTTCGCGGCCCGCTGATCCTGCCGCCTGCGAGCGAGCTTGCGAGCCGCGCCGCTAATCCTGCGACCTGATTGGCCTTGCGACCTACCTTACGCGACCTTAGCGCTACTCGGGGTATCGACCGCTTATCGAACGAAATCTTCTTGCTCTTGGTCGCGAACAGCTGTGCGAGGCACACGTATCTTTTCGGGCTCCCGTGCGTACGCGTATCTTCCGTGCCGTCTAAGTAGTCTGCCATACCGCGCTTTAAGATTCAAGGCGAAGTGATTCTCGTCGAGAGGGTGACCCCGGCGGAGTCCAGGAAAGCTAAACGAGTCAGTCCGGACAGAGAAGACCGGGACATGCCGGAAAACAATCAGCGACGGTGAGATGCCCGTTTTAGTCCTGTTAGCCACAAATCCGCGTTGCACAGGCCTCGTGTTGAAGCTGGTCGCTCGTCTTTCGCGTTTTGTTTGTGACGGCAAGGACGTATCCTTGACCGTGTTCACGATTGTTTTTCGGCAGCGGCCAGAATCGGGCTTCACGGGACTTTGTGGCCGTAGTTTGTAGGTTTGTAAGTTAAGTGCATGTTTTGCCGTAATTTCGCGAATCAAAGTCAAGCCCTGGAGTGGCGATCCGGCGCCAAGTAGCCTATTCGCGTTATTTGTGTCCGTCCGTTTCTATTTCCTTTTGTCTTGTTTGTCTAGTGAGCATATTTGTGTGCGTGTGCCGTGATTATAGGAACGTATCGTTTGCGTACCGTCGGATTTCGTCCACCGACGGCAATTATCCGCCGCGGTAAAAAATTGTCATAACGAAATCGAAGTTTTCTCGTGCGATCGGCTAGAGTAGGGTGTGTGCGAGTTGGAAGCTGTGTTGATCGGTAAGGAATATTGTGCCAAACTAACGTGCGGATTAACGACCATTTTGGATGGTGAATTTTCAAGACAATTATTGCTGAACTATTTGCGAGCGTACGGTGAATGCGTGTCGCCTTTCGAGCGTATAAGTTGTCCGAGATTATTCGCGATCGAGTCACGTATTGTACCGCCGATTTTCCTAGCGCCAAGATAGAGAGCGTTGCTAATCGTGTTGTGATAATCGAAAGAGAAAAGCCAACTCCGACGTCGCACTCCCTTCGCTCGTTATCGCGAGTACGTTCTTTCGAGTGCATGCGCGTAGATTGAGAAATCGGCTCGACGTAATCTTTTGGGCCTAGCGACACAAAACCGGCGAAAGCTGCGTAGCAGAGTGAGCCAGTCGACCAAATTGCGATCTTCAGCGAAACAAGTAAGTCAGGGTTGATCCACGGCTTGTGAAAAGGCGACTGCACGCTATTTTATTGCGGCTTATTGTTTGCCCGGCACATCTGCTTGCACTCTCTAGCTGGTTAGCCTGCATCTAGCTTTGCGCCCCGCGATTGCTATATTCTCGTGTCTGCGCTTGTTAGCTTTCGGCTGGAATCCTCGAGTACAGTTTCGCGTCCAGTACTTTTACGGTGTCGTTTCGATTCATTAATTTGTCTCGTTAACTCGCGTGATACGGTTTGTTAATTGTCGTAATTTGTCGTGGATTCCGTATGTTTTTGTTTGTAATAATTTCGATTATACCGCCGTAGCTTATTCTGTCTCATATTTCTGTTACATTCTTTAATATCACTTCTTATATCTTATCGCTTTTATATTATCTTGTAACCTATCTTTTCTTTTCTACTATTTTTTATATCATTTCTTTTATATTACTTCTGCCTTTCTACACGCGTAATAAATTGTCAATTAATTATTAACTCGTGCTGATTAATTCCAACTCTCTTTCCTTTACTTGAGCTTCCTATCGCGAGGTCAAGGGACAGCCTGCATTCCGAATTTTTACTAAACCGCGCCTCTCTCCGTTCCCAAAAGAGCTAGTCGGCCCGTCGTGCCGAGTGACGCTGATTTTTGACGCGATTCCGCGTCTGGCGCCCAAAATTATAACCAAGTATTCGTCGACTCGACCCGGCGGTGCTCGCTCCGGGCCATCTTTTCTGTCCTGCCCGTGATTCGACGTTGCCTTCTCGCGGACGCTCATTTGAGTCCCGGGAAGTAATCTCCGTTTGCGAGGGAGCGGCGCGAGAATTACGTTACCACTGCGAAAAAACGTCAATATATATATATATATATATATATATATATATATATTGTTACGCGGGGGTCACCGCGTATGTGTCGCTGGAGCCGCGTGAACGGCGCCCGCTCGGCGCAATTGTTTGTCGCTGGGCGACGACGGTTGTTAAAAGAAGAGAAGTAACAGAGACGCGTAGCTGTCACGTCGTATTCATGAATCCGATTGGATTCTTTATAATTACCATTGTAATTTGAGCTATAATAAAGTGTTAATGAAGAACCCGCGTTCTCTCATTTCCGCGGACGGTCACGCAAATCGCGCGGCTCGGTTACGTAGCCGGATCGTGCGCCGCGAGCGCAACAATATATATTAATATATCTTTCTTTTTTACTAGCACAGTTTTCTTTTCTTTTCTTTACCAAAATCCAACCGGAATTTCTCTTTGCACGAGGTACTGATAGAATCCCACCTCAGTAGTTAGTTTATAATCCCACCGCTGCCATCAAAATTTGTTGAGATCATAGGAGTCAAAGGACTTGGTATAGAATGAGATTCTTCTCTATAGCACTGGCAAAATTTATTATTTATTCCATTACACTTGTTGTACAATTATCGCACGCTATTACTGACACTTAGCCATTACTATATTGCGGTAAACTCTCCGGATGGATTCGGAGCCACACAGTTAACGTTGGCAACACGATCTGTCTGCCAGTATTCGCGTTCGATCTTTTAAAAAAATCGGTCGCGACTATTCAACAACTTAGTGACTCATATGCAATTTCACGTGGGTCACTGACGACGCGTGCTGCGTTTGTACCTTACTTAATTAGTAATATTCACAAGCAGATTTTTTTTACAAGAGAATGCTGCTTGTTACTCTTTTAACAAATTCGGATTGATCGAGCAATGACGTGTACTTTCCGTAATTGCTTAATGGCCCAGCCAAAATTACCCTAAGTTTTACAACAAGTACCCTCCATAATTTTGGAAATATGCTATGATTTACAGGCAAACAATCGTATAACAGCAATTTGTGCATGTTTTTAATTTGAATACAATAATTGTAAGACGTCAGTAGGTAAACTACAAAGGTTCGAATTCAGGAGTGCCCAGGAAACGTGAAGAGGGGGCACCGCGCGGGGAGGGGGTTCGTACGGACCTATTCAAACGTGTTCAAGGTCGTATAAACCTGTTCAAGGTCATTTGAGCTTGTTCAAACGTGTTCAAGGTCGTTTGAGCGTGTTCAAACGTGTTCAAGGTCGTTTGAGCGTGTTCGAACGTGTTCAAGGTCAGTCGGATGATGACATCATCGCTAAAATAATATTAATTCTCAATTAAATATTTAAATAGCGCAGTAACCCATGTTTTTTATTGGAAGTATGTCTACATTTACAGCTATTTAGTGAACTTCACAGCATTTATAACGAGTTCGATCTGAAACGGCGCACGAGTCGACATATTGAGTTTCCTGTGCCTTTTCTTACCTCCTGGTAGTTTGTGACAAGCGCACGCGGGTTTCAACTTTGCATTTACGTGAGTACTCTCTATTGGGGATCTTGAGCTTGCCGTTTTTTCGGTGTTTTCTTTGTTTTATGGGCAATCTTTTCTGACGGGCTTTGCGGCCAGATTTTTGCTAACTGTTTTTACGTTCGTAACGTACTTCTACTGAACAACTCTTTCTCTTAAGACCTTTTAACAATAGTCCTTTCGCCGAACGATATCGGCCGATGTCTGCGAGTATGGATGTTGACTTCGGCAACCCGGGTGCTGACCACCCGAGTATGTCTAACACAACCATAACCTTAAGCCTGTCTGCCTGTTCGAGCCTGAGCTCTGCTCGGCCGGTTGAAGGCTTAACAGTACAACCCAGTCAGGGTCTACGCGACAAGCAGACCACTTCTGGAAGCACGGTTCAAAAGAGACTGTCTGAGGGCACTGGCCCTCCTTGTAAAAAGGTGAGTACTCCTTTGTCCAACACACAAAATACTCATTCTCAATAGATATAATACCGGGTCAAAGGGCCCTTTTCTGGTTCATATAGAGTGTTGTAGATCTGAATCTCCGACCGAGAGCCCCGGTTCGGTTCGCGTGCCTAGGAAAAGTAGCATTAGTGTTCTCGGCATGGGAAAAAAGCTTAACTGTCTTGTTTATTTCGTCTTTCTGCATGCCCACGACTTGAAGAGCATTAGAAGAAATAAGTTCTCTGTATGTTTCCCGTTTGGAACTGAGGCTAATTTCTTTGTTGAATCATTCCAGAATGTAGCGGAGGAGATCACTTCCCTAGATTCTTGGGTAGCCTTTGTACCAAGCTTTCGGGTTGTAAAACAGTATGTCTTGCGAGGAGTGAATGATGATGACTCGCCTGAGGAGGTTCTTTCAAACATCAGGCTTCCCCCCGACAAATCATAGACCCCACCCTTCAAAGGGTGCCTTTTGTTAGGATGCAACGGAAAATGTTAGGTGAGGATAAAAAATCATTTACTCTTAAGGACACAAATAGCTATATTTTGAGATTCAGGACACTGTGTGTGTACGTAACCCAGTCCTGTCTGTATATGGGGAAAAGAGTGTTCCTCTCCTCTTATGTATACAAGGTTAGACGGTGTGGCTTCTGTCAGCGGTTTGGCTATACACAAGCCAGCTGCAAGCAATCAAACAATAAAGACAGAGCTGTCTGCTAGAAGTGCGCTAAGGTTGGTCACTTCAAGTCTGACTGTTCCAACCAGTTACCGGAATGCATCAATTGGATCCGCGCCAGAACCGGAAGTATTGGCCATCAGGCTTCCGCTCCAGGGTGCGCTGCGTTCTTCATACAAAAAGGCATCCATAAGGTTATGGTGCAACGCAATCTTAACTTCAAAGAAGCGTTGCTCTTGTATGATAGGTCGGGCGGCGTTACCGAGCGGGTACCCCTGGGTCCTCTGTTCCCTACCCGTCTCTCGGTGAATTCTTCCCTAACAGAGCTGTTTTTAGGTTCTCAGCTGGGTCAAAACGGGATGGCCACGGTACGTCGGGCTCAGCTGGGTTGAGTGGAGACGGTGTAATCATCTTATCAAGCGCCTCGTTTTCGAGGCCAAAGTCTGGGTCTAAACCATCTTCTAAAACCGCGTTTGACAAAATAGCCCCCACCAATCCACCGGCTGTTTCTAATAGCGCAAATCTATTGTTGCGCCCGCGGCGCACGATCCGGCTACGTAACCGAGCCGCGCGATTTGCGTGACCGTCCGCGGAAATGAGAGAACGCGGCTTCTTAATTAACACTTTATTATAGCTTAAATTACAATGGTAATTATAAAGAATCCAATCGGATTCATGAATACGACGTGACAGAATTCGCGACCGCGATCCTTCTTCTCTTTCAACAACCATCGTCGCCCGGCAACCGACAGTCGCGCCGAGCGCGCGCCGTTCACGCGATACCCGCGGCACACACGCGGTGTCCGCCGCGTAACACTATTAGCAAATATCCAACAACTCCAGTTTGTTTGTGATAACTCTTTTTTTGAAGCTCCTATGTGTTGGGATGAGTACTTTTCTGTCGTTAAGTCTCTCAAGGTCAAGTCGGCTCCCGGCCTAGACTTCATCTCTAACAATATAATTTCTTACTTTCCGCAAGAATTTCATTTGCTCTTTCTTCAAGTGTTCAACTCTATGCTTGACAAACATCAATTTCCTGACCAGTGGAAAGAGTACTTTGTTATTTTTATCCCAAAACCTGGAAGAAGAGAAGCGTACCGTCCCATTTCCTTGGCCAGCAATATCCTAAAGTTGCTGGAAAAGATAATGTGTAGAAGAATGGAATGGTGGGTTAAAAACAACAGTCTCATATCACCTTTCCAGTTGGCTTTCAGTTTGGCTTCCGTAGGGGCTTGTCTTGTACAGATAATCTTGCGATACTTGTCTCTAAATTCAAGATGGCGAACAATAACCGCCAGGTCACAGGCGTCGTCTTTCTGGACGTGGAAGGCGCCTTTGATAACGTGGTTCCTCTCACCCTTCTTTCTATGCTTTCCATCTTAGGATTTCTCAGTAAATTTGTTAGCTTCGTCTCATCTGTCATTTCGTTCCGCCGCTTGAAGGGTTACGCGTCAGGAATCCCTCTCCAACAACAATCAACGGTCAGAGGACTGCCCTAGGGTTTGGTACTCAGCCCTATTCTTTTCAGTATCTATATGTCGACAGTTGAGACATGCCTTCTCCTTCCAGTAAACATTATCATATACGTAGCAGTGATGAAAGATCGAGCCGGCGTGACGTCATGCACACGGACGGTGGTCTCGCTTGTGTGCGTATTTCCAGTGGCTCCCACCGCCTCGGTGCTCTCGTTGCTAGCCAGCTCGATCTTTCATCACTGGTACGCAGACCATATTGCCATTTATTGTTCACACCCGTCCATAGACTATGTCACTCAACAACTTAATATTGCTCTAAACAATTTGAGCTCTTATTTGGGAGAACTATGTCACTCAACAACTTAATATTGCTCTAAACAATTTGAGCTCTTATTTGGGAGAACTCGGACTAAGACTTTCTCCTGATAAGTCGGTAGCTACGTTCTTCTCGCTTAACACCTTGCGCAATACTAAATGGCTTATTAGAAAGAATAAAATACGTATAGCTTTACATGACGTTAAAATACGTATCAAGTGGACGGTCCGCTTTCTAGGGATTTACCTTGACTACGCACTTAAAAAAAAAGCATGTAACCGAGGTAAGAAATTGAGTGCTTCCTCGCATTAATGTGTTAAAAGCTATTACAGGTGTGAGGTGGGCAGCTCACCCCAGTATTATGTCTACGGCGTACAAGGGACTGGTTTGGTCTGTCCTGGACTGGGGTTGTCAGGTGGTTTCCTCGCTGGGTTCTAGAGAGGAGTGTGTTCTTAACCGCCTCCACTACGCGTGTATCCGCCTTGTGTGCAGGTTCATGCGATCTACCTCCACAAACGTTCTTCTGGACACGGTTAATGAACATCCGCTGCCATGTAGACGTAAGTACCTACCCAGCAAATATGTATGTCGGGTAAGCGCTAGGACTAATTATCCTCTAAACCCTGTTTTAAACTAGATTTCCCATGGGTGGGAACCCATCTGTGTGGACAACAATTTCGATCTCTTCAATATTGCCTTAGAGCTTGCTCCTCTTATGTCGCGGGTTGAGACATTCTCCCTTCCAGAACTTTTTTCCGCTCCGTATATGGCCCGGTTTACTTCTCTCCGCTCCGTATATAGCCCGAGTTACGCACTGCTTGGTCGATACTGAATCTGGACTCTTGTTTTGCAATTTTCCATCTCCTCGACAATCTTTTCTGACTTTTTAGATAAGGAGAACGCTAGCTGTGTGTTTTTTTACAGATGGATCTCTTCAACCGCCTTCTGATGGCTCTCCTCCCAGGGTAGGGTTTGCTGTTGTAGCCTACTACCCTGAGTTGGTCTATTATGCGCGTCTACACGACCACTTCACCATATTTGACGCTGAGGCAAAAGGCATTCTTTGTGCTCTAGAATACCTCGCCGACTTCAGGTTCAACAAGTCAATCATCGCTACCGATTCGCTGAGTGTGCTAAGATGTCTCGAGTCTTCCTATCCACAGGGCCGTCACCTCCTTGTAATTTATCAAATAAAGAAACTTCTCCTCAACTTCTCTTGTAATATTATAGTGAAACTTATGTATGGATCCCTGACCATAAAGGTATCCCGGGTAATGATAACCTCGCAGATTTTTACGCAAAAGCCTCTCTAAGTTTGCAAGATCCCGACCGGGACAAGAGATGTAAAGTTAAATCTCTGTTTCCACGACTTCGTGCGTCGGCTGTTGAACAATCCAAGAGTGTTCTTCTTGAGGAGGCTCGATGTAAAGGTAAATGCTGCTTTGACCTAAAAGGTATTGTCTTAGATAAACCGTGGTATGAGCGATTCAAGAAACCGTTACCGAAAACTTTAATCTCGCTCATCTCACGGATTAGATCATTCCACGCAGGAGTCAACTCCCATCTAGCAGACAAAAATATTGTAAATTCTGCCGCATGCAATTGTGGACACATAAACCAAAATCTAGACCACATCTTTTTTCATTGCCCAATAAATAAAGAAAACTCCGATAAACTTCTTATAGACCTCTTTCACTGCGACTTTAGTTTGCCAGTCACGGTCACAGATGTCGCGTTCTCAAAAAGACTCTGTGCCAAGTTTGCTTTACTACTCTACATCACAAAAGCCAAAATCACCATCTAATATCTCTTACATTTACATCCCTACTGTACTCTTATACAAGCTCCTTCCGTTATAACTCTTGCTTATATACACTCCATTTCTACCAAATGCGTCTGGTGGAAGGCTATCGCTTGCTCCCACTAGGCATATTCAAACTAGTCTCAGAATGGCGTATGGACTAACCGTTCTAGATCCAAGAGCTACATGCGCACCACACCAGCATTTATAATGACTTATTTAAAGTGCGAGACAATCATTTGTTTCGTATTCGACAATGTATGAAAGTTAACGGTAATTATTTTGAACGCTTTCTATAATATTGAAAACGTTTAGGTACTTCAGTTTTTTTCTATATAAATATAATTTTTTAATGTTTGCAATCATCTCAAAGTAAATAAATCTTGGACAGTTGAATTTGGTTTTTTTATAAACTACATTACTGCATTAGTGAAAATATGCCATCCTATTTTAAAAAATGGCAATAATCTTGAAATCTTAAAAAATATAACCACAAGAAAAAATTGTTTCATATACTATTTGTCTTTTCAAATCAAATACCTTTTTTTTAGTATTTATTTGTATTATTATTAACAACAAAGATAATCTACATGATCGAGTTAAAAGAAACACCCTGTATATATAAGGGTGTCCTATTTTAATGTTCTACCCCAAATAACATTTTTATTTGTGATTTTAGAAAAAAATATTTCAGACATAAGTTGTATGGCTTTGAGGAAAACATAAGATGGTGTTATTAGTTTGATCTTGCATAATTGCTTGAAGGTCACGTGAAGGTTACATTCAATTTGTTAAATAAAAGTCTTTACTTTTTATTGCACAGTTTTATAGATCATCTTAAAATCTTTCCAAAAACTAATTAAATACCTTTTTGTACTTATAAATACCTTTTTTAAGTACTTATTAAATTATGAGGCAAGTTCGATGTATGTGCATACAATTTTTATAGATGTTTGAAAATTCCACTATTTACAGTATCCTCCATAAGTTTGGAAACACCTTACGTTTTACAAATAATCGCATAACAGCGTGTTACGTCCTGGCCCACGGATACGGTCGGGCTATGGTGGAGTAACAGAGAGCTGTCGTTTCTCTTTCTATCTCCGCACAGCAGGCTGACGATCCCGCTGCGACGGAGTCGAGCGAGTTTGCTTACGTTCGTCGACAGGTCAACGGCGTACGCCGATCTTACACTGTCTTACGAACACTCACTCGTTGGTCTCTTTTCTAGTCTGGAGAATTAACTTCACGGACTAAGGACGAGACCGTGCGATCAGTCGAGGATGTGGAATGATGAGAGGTCGGCTTAATTAAACGGAGAAATTATGATAGATATTAATTTATTCATTTAATTAGGTGTTAGGCTTACAAATTGAGATGTGTATTTGTGTATGAATGTGGTGTCGCGAATTTTACATTCAAATGGAGGGTCATCGCTCGGAGGCTAGAGAGGGAAAAAACATATATATGTGTATGTATTCGTGACGCGATATGTGTGTGAGGGGCCTCCGGCGNGGTTTTACAATTGTAATTGTGTCGGTAGCATGTCTAAGACGGCGGTTCGTGGCATGGAAACTANTCGAGGTCAATTTCTATAATTTCTTGGATTTTTGCGGAGCTTGGAGGGAACATTGTGTAGAAATGGCGGACGGGAACTAATCGAATGTCATCTATGTAGGGGAACTTCACTGGAACTAGTTTTCTGGCGGGGGTGCTGGTTATTATCCGGAAGATTTCGGAAGGATCTGTAGTCAGAGGGTCAAGGACGAAGGGGATTCTTTCAGGATTCGCTTTTTTATAGGTTGGGGCTAATCGGATAAAATGTTGAAATTTAGGATCAAGCGGAGGGGTGGTTGAGCGGGTTGAGTCAGAGGATCCATCATCTACGGGTTCGTTTCTGGACGTAGATGGTTCAGGGGAAGGAGAGCGAGGGGGAGGTGGAGGAGTCGGCGCGGATTGTAAATCCGCGGGATCTTCTGCGGGAGGATCGGGGGTTATCGGCGAGTAAGAGGGAGCGTCATACCACGAATCGTCGTGTGTATGTGTGTCTGTGTGTGTGTGTTCCGAATGTGTCGGTGAGGGTGAGTGCGGGTTTGATTGATTTATGTGTACATCGCCGGGGTTTTTTATATTATCGTCGCTGCCAGAATCGTCTCCTAATGTCGGAGGGGAGGTGGCGTCAGTGGGCCTGGTCGGCTCCGCTTTGTCTTGCGCGAGCGCTGCCGCTCGTCGCAATTTTGCGTTGCGTCGGTGGCGCTGGGCCTTTTTGCCCGTTCGCGAGATTCTTTGCCGGGGTTCCACTTAAGGTACCAGACCAATGTGATCGGTTGAAAAAATCAATTTTTCAATTTTAATATTTTTTATTAGTAAATTATCTCAAGAATATTGTGTCAAATTTTTAGACCGAAATTCCAAATAGTTTTAATTCTACAAAGAAAAGAAGCGCGCGTCCCCTCTCTATTATTGCCTGGATTCTTTATACCTGCGTTCTATTTATATAAGACTTTAAACGCGTTTTTCTCGAAACCACGTTTTTGAGTCGCGGGGGAGGCGCTGACAAAAAACTATTGAACCGATCGACCTCAAAATTTGACTACATATTCTTAACATGACGGACTTTTACACTAACCAAAAAAAATTTTAATTTCTTAATAACAAATTAACTTTTTTAAAACAATTTCGTCAAAAAAAAGTGCAATTAAAAAATTTTTTTTTTCGAAAGCGCGCCATTTTGTTTTTTAAGTAAAAAATATGCATTTTACTGGTAAGTGTAAAAGCGACAAGCCTATAGATTAATAAAAAATGTGAATTTTAGTTTTCTGATGTCCACAGGACCCTGGGTGCTTCCCCCCCCATCTTCGCCTTTTTTTGAGGACTGTACTTTGGCGCTATATTACACACTGAAAA